ATTTTAAATTATAAAATTCATATAGAATATAAACATATTTTTTGTAAATTGTTATTCTTATTCTTAGCAAGCAGAATAAGTATCTAGCAGAAATGACATCATTACCTATATTTAATAAATTATAATTATCTGGTTTCATTTTATCTTCGACTTCTAAAGTATTGTTTTCTGCCACATTAGTGGATCACATTTTGATATTTTTTATGAACATACTGTTCATACAGTAAAACTCACACGTTTAAATTAAATTGTTCTTTCATTTATGTATATTCACAACATTGCACACAGTCCTTGCCAATTTCCATTTCCACAATATATTTCAGGACAGCTCACCCTCTTCTGGCCTCAGCAGGCATTGCATATATAGGTGCGCTTACATACATGTAGCTCAGAAGTGGCCCTTCCTTGCCCTCATCTACCTACTGCTAGCACACTTAATTCTGTGACTCTCTTTATTTTCCTGTTTGAAGAATCAAACAAAAAAACAAGATTACTGGCCAAGTGACTATTGGTGTTGAAACATATGTTTTTGAAACATATGCATGGTGAAGCCTATTTCAAAGTTCACTTTCCTTTAAAGACTGAGTAGTATTTCCTTAAAGATACAACATATCTTGGAAATGCAGAGATAACTCAGCAATTATAAGCACTGGTTTCTCTTGAAGAGAACCCAGGTTTGATTCCCAGCACCCACGTGGCAGCTAACAGCCATCTGTAACTCCAGTTCCAGATGATCCGACACCTTCTTTTGGCCTCGGTGGGCTTTGCATATATTGGTACACTTAGATACATGCATGTGAAAGACTCACATGCTCAAAATGTAATATTTTAAGGACATAAAATTAGGCATATAGTACAGTGACAAGAAATATTTAAGGGATGGCTATAATCAAAATATGTTATATACATTTATGAAATGGTCAAGAAGTAAATAAGAATAAATTAAAATTTTTGCATATAACAGTGCACATTCATAAAAGAATATTAGGGTGTGTGTATATTTAAACTCTAAATTAGTTTCAGATATATATAAAGATACTGAGGCATGTTAAATACACACTTTCTCACATTATGAGTGAATCTGATAGCATTTCGTACATTACCTATAAATTTGTTCACATTTAGTATTAGAACTTTTATTATTACACCTAGTATACTATTGGAAAATATAAGGAAAATAAATATAAAGGGCTTGTAATTTTTAGATTTATCAATAGCTAAGAAATCATTCATCAAAGAAATGAGTCTAGACTAGTCTTGCGCAGCACTATTCCCCAAATACAACTTTCCATTTTGGAGGCAAGCTCATTAAGGCACAGGAAGTTCTAACGTAAGATAAATCATTCTATCCTTAAGTGAAGGATGTAAACAACCAATGGCTTCAGGAAGACACTGTAACTGGCCAGATTTACTAGGCCTCTCTGCCCCTAAGGGTGTATGAGTGGTAAAGTCTTCTGCTAGACACAGACCAGCAGATCTATCTGTATTAGGCAAATCAACCAAGCTGCCTGGAACAAACTGAGACAAAGCTTCTTGGAAGAAGCTGCTTGGAAGAGGCTCAGGATTTACTGAGCTGCCTAGAAAAGACTTTTTCCAATCTGTCCAGCTTCCTGGAGTTGAACAGGAAGCTCCAGGTTTCCAACTTCTTTTAACTGTCACCTATGTGGTGGTGGGCTTTGGTGATGCAGCTGTATTTGAATCATTTCTGCACCCATAAATCATCCCTCTCCCATACTGAAGGAAACCCCAGTAGAACTCATGGACTCATGGAGTTGGACTTTGGTGATCCCCTTTGGGCTATCAGTTTCCTATCTGGGATGAGTAGATATTTCTTTGTATCTTCTCAGGAATAGAGTCTCACATCTAGGTTTCTTTGATTTTCACAGACTTCATTTAAAGAATGCAACAAGGAGGCTAGGGAGATGGCTCAGCACTTAATAGCACTCACTGCTCTTGCAGAGGACCTGAGTTCGAGTCCCAGCACCCACATGATGGCTCACAACCATCCCTAACTCCAATTCCAGGGTAAGTCAACACCCTCTTTTGACTTCCACAGGCATTGCAAGATACCACTGTATTTACATACATATAGGCAATAAACTCATACACTAAAATAAACATAATTTTAAAAATTTTTAAAAGAATGCAATGAAATAATAGGATGACTAGAAAAATAACTCATTCTAAGCAAACTTCATTTGTTTCTTCCCTCAAGCTCTTCTATTGCCATATATACTTGGTTTAAATATATTCATATTC